GATTCAACGCGCACAACGTTCATATTGAAAGTGCACTTTACCGGACAGTCTCTTGTAGCGGAAACAATTCGTTTCGTCAAAGAAAAGGGTAAAATCAATATAAGCTTGTGCATAAATTCGCATGCTCGAAATAGACAAACAGCAATCGAGCAATGGCAAAGAAATAGGAACGAATGTGCTTGGCATAGCGGACAAGGTCGTATCCTGAAAAAGATGAGAATGGAAGAAGGTTCTCGAAAAAAGGATCTTATTCATTCGATTATGAAAAATTTTACACATGTAAATTTACGTGAGAATTGGTGGTAGGGGAGTGGAGGATGGTTTGAATAAATTCAATGGTGTGTCACCATCGTAAAACTGAATTAAATTTCTAAATTGCTCTAGAATAAGCGCTATAGAATTTTTTAAAGATATAAGATGCGCCCTAAAATGCATTTTATGGTCTTTCTAGAGCACATTGATTTTGTGAAAGAATATAATATAAACCGGTGGCAATAAAGGCTAGGTATATAGTAAGGTACTGAAAAATTATAGTAAATGCCTCGAAAGCCTTCTATTGCTGTAGAAGCATTTAGAAGTCTATGGCTGTCAAGCATCTTGGTTTAGTAATCCATAGAACGATATTAGAACTGACAGCTTCTAGAAAATTTTTTATGGTTCTCCTTTCTGGAATTCTATTGCTCTAAAAGATTCTCCTCAAATCTTCCAGTAATTCGCTGCAGGAATTCTCCTAGAATCAAAGTTCTGAATTCTAAAAGTCGAAATTCTAAAACGCAACACCTTGTCTGCGGAATAGTGGCGTATTGAGACGATGTCAAAAGTTGTAATACTACAACAAAGTAATCCTATCGCTCTAAATAGGAGATTAAATTAACGATTCTAATTAACACTCGAGAGTTAAAGGCAAAAATCGCGAATGGTCAAATTCTAGTGCCTAGAATTCGATTTTGTGCCATTTTTACAATTTAGATATTGCAACATTTTGATTTTTTCATAAACTCTTAAATTATAGTTTGTTTGAGGATCATTGTATTTTTCATTTGTATCCCGTTTAGATTTATTAACTAATTTTTATTGTTGCATCATTAAGACGAGTTGAATGCGCATGTCAGATTTCCCATTTCGCTTCCTTATTTATTCCGGACACGTCTGTAGACGACCATGTTCCAGTGTAATTATATTTAATTCCAACATCTCAGTATTATTGTATTCTGGCGATTAACTGAATATTTTGTAATTTTCGAATTAGTTTTGTTCTCTCATTATATTAGATCTTAAACAAATTTAAAGGGAATGTGTGTAGAAGAGTACGAGAATACATTTAAGCAGGTTTCTCAGAAGGCTCTGAAAAATAACTACTACAATTCACTTGAAATAACATGCTATGAAAACATTGGTAAAAAACAACATTTAGCTTCTATCTAATTAAAGTTTTTTGTGGATACTTTAGAGAATTATCAAATTGAACTCCTATGGTCAATAAAAGCGTGGCATCATTTGAGAATAACATTTTTTAGCGCATTTTCCAACGAAGATAGGGTGCGCTATTGCAGCCAGTTTCTCTGTCCGCCCGTCTGTCGTCGGCCCGTCCGTAATTCCACTGTTTAGTTATCATGTAAGTTATTCTTATAGTAGAGTTCTTTACCTAGTTCTTTATTTTCGCCGCTAGAGGCGATCCGGGTGTTATTAGGGTTTTTACTATCACCGCCAGAGGATGTGCAGATGTTTCCTTAATTCTTTCTGCTTATGCATTTCGTTTCTTTTGCGCATTGAAAAGTTTGTCTTCATATTTATTGTATACAAATAAGTGTTCTGAGACGCCAAGACTTTTTGTCTACCTGAGTCATGGATTTATGGTTTAGTCTCTTTCTCTTTCTGATGTGTTTGGGGCTGTGCTCCATTGTAGCGAGCTGTGTATCTACCTCATTCTACCTCCATTAACCTGGTGGCCTACTTACATATAACTTCCACACTTCGATATTGTACCTGTCTAAGTGCAAGTATTACGAAACCTTTTGGAGACTACCGTTCTTGTAAATTGCTCCGATATATCTGATTTTACGTACATCAGCTTACCGCTATCGAGACCCGATTTGATCTATACATTACCTACGATTATTTTTGTGATTCCGAAGATTCATTTGTACTAGCTTTACTACGTTTCATGTCTCAGTGTGTTTACCGATATTACTTACCTTTGGTTTGTAAATTAATTAGTTTTTGAAGTAATCCGAAACCGTTATCTACAATTTTTAGTTACGTTACTTGTTATTCTGAAGGATTTGTCCATTTTTAATAAATTATATTGCATTGCTGTGCAGCGTAAAGTAGTTTTCTTGAGTTAACGTCACGTTCATGCTTTTAGATCACCAATTGTAAGGACAATCCGTGACCGAGTCAAACTTTTGCTAAGTTAACGTAAATTGAATTATTGAGCCTTATCAAGTATTCATTACGGTTTTAGTATACCATTTCTCTAGTGTCAAACGTTAAACTTGCTACTACCATATGTTGTGCCGCATTTGTTATCTGTTACCGATTAGGCAGAACGCTTCCTTCTGAGCTCACAAGATCGTTACAACCTGCCGTTCAAAGACGGTTTTTTTTTAATTTTCGTCGATTCCTTGATGTTACGTTTGATTACGTATTGGTTTTCGATACAATAAAATTGTAATTAATACATTTATTTGACATTCAATTAGCAATTATAGATCAGTTATTTTCTGCGGAAGCCTGTTTCGATTTGAATAATTTCTAAACTTCGAGTTGGTCCCCTTTTTGCTAAAATTCGATTTCAATTTAAATATTGACATTTCGGATCTAGATATTGTACAGTGCCCTTCGTGTAATAATACTTTGGAGATCAGTAAATTTTTTATTAAATTACCCACGATTGTGATTGTGTTCTATCCTTCTTGTCCATTATATTTCATTTCTTTAGCTTATCCAAGGATATGCTTTGTGTCCCCCTTTAGGTAAGTATCTTCTTTTCTATTTTGAAATTTACTAAAGACTAAGTGGCGCCGATCCGATTTACCATTACTACATTCTGTTCTGTTCTTACATTATCGAGTAATTATTATGATTTCAGTTAATTTAAAATGTGCATTAAACCTGCAGGGACGTTTATTTCATTATCGCACACTTAACAATGGGCATCACTGGGCTACCGAATTTGAAAATTCGGCAGATAATTAATTAACCGTTGCTAATTTGTTTGTGTGTTATCGTGAGTGGTCACATTAGAAGCGCGCTTAATTGGGCTAAATTTTAAGCCCAATACAAATTTTTATGTTTCTCGCAGGCCGCGCAATTAAATAAAGAAGTTTTAATTTGTGGATGTTCACAATTTTAGGGTTAAGGCCGCAAGTAATAAAAGCCTGATTATCCCCTCCACCCTTTTTTTCTGACGACACAGTGTTGCGTTGTGATTGGCTGCGCCATTTTGCGGCGGTCAGTTTCAATGTTTGGATGTCGATTTTGTAGCGGTAAATTTGAATTTTTTACTGTGATTGGTGTGCCATTTTAAATATACAGAGTATTTATTGAGTTAGACATAATAGCACTTTATCATTTTACACTTATATACACGGTATTTGTGATCGATGTTTTGAGCGGGTGCCAATAGAACGTCGGTCGGTCAATTGGTCAAACTTCGGACGAAGAGGATGTAGAAAATGGTGAGAAAAATTATAATATTTCCGACAGAGAAAAAGCTGATGAGTCCAGAGATAATCGAATCGTAACAGATGACGATGGGAGGATGCGCCAGAGGAAAAAAGAGGACAAAAAACGAGAAAAACGAAATTGTCGTCCACCTCGATATATCTTCAGAATTAGGTTATTTAAATTTTTAGTGAATTGGCTTTATTTTGATATGTTTTGTTAAAGGGAGGATGACGGAATTCTATATTTTTGATCAAAGGCTGAGCGAGTGTGGATTCCAGTCCGAGTTGTAATATTAAAATTGAGTGAGAGAATGTCAAAGAGTAGGTACTCGTATTTATTTGCAAATAAATATTCATAACTAAAAGAAATAGAACACAAATTGTAAAAATTTTGACGAATGCGAATTTTACAACAGGAAAATGTTTAATATTTTCTCCAGAAATTAAGCCGATCATCCCCTAAATTAAAAAAAATTATTATTACAGTATCGTTATCCTTACATGAAATGAATAACACTGTAGCTATCAAAATATCATGATTTACCCTCTCACATTTTAAGATGACTTTTATCCGCGTAAATTAAAATGAGAGACCAACTTTTTTAATTGAAACACTTAAGAATTAATGCAAGGGAATTAAAGAACAATAGGCGATTGCGAAACTCTGTTGAAGTTTCCGATTGAAAATAAAAAGTAAAGTTGCCAGAGCTTGTAACGTTTTAGTTTTTATGTACAGCTCGCTTCATAAAGGATGGATTTATTGCTATTACAAAGCTTTAAAGATGTTTATATCTTCCAACTAGAATATACCACAAAAATTTGTTCATACGTTTTCCTCGATGACAATATATACGAGCACGATATTTGTTTTTATGATTAGTACTAAAAAGCAAATCCCATTCGTTATTCTCTGGTTATATATTATTGGTCTTATACGAAATAGAATTTTTCCAATATTATTAATTTTCATGCCATTTCATGCAATCGGATTTGCTTGGAAACAATCGTGCCTAATGGATCATGGAAAATGTAAAAGCCGCCCTGTTGCGTGCCCCCTGACACCGAATTTTGAGTTTCATAAATAAGAGCATCTCAGAGTGTTGATGGTACAATCAAATAATCCCCCCTTAATGATTTCGAATGTTAATGTCTTGCTATGAACGAATGTCATGTTGCCTTTTGCAGTGTTAAATTACATTTCTTTTTATAATTGATTACAACTGTATGTAAGTGCATTTAGGGGTCTGTAAACACCTTTTTTTTTAAGTCGCTCACAGCTTCTAAGGTCTTCAAAAAGGCTCCGTCATCTTTTAGGAAAATAAAAGGCAGAAATTCAACATAAAAATTTATTTCCACTGCGAATCTTGTGCGAAATAACATTCTCCATTAGAAGTAGTACCCATAATCTACAAATAATATAAATTACCTACGTTAACGGTTCATTAATTCCATTACCTAATCTGTAGTACGGCATTCCGATTCCGTAGCCGTAATTCCAGTACTGAGGTCTTGGTTGGGGAATTGGGTTTGGATTTGGCGATGGATTGGCCATGGTTAAAGCGAAGATGGCCATTACAAAAGTAATCTGCAATTTCACAATGAGGTGCATTACAATTTAGAACCTACTACAGACAATCTTACCAAAAATGCAGCTTTCATTTTGGTTTCTGTGTCGAGAGAACAACTGAATGTTCTTTTCCAGGTACGCACTGATTATATAGGTCTGAATTGTGTTGATATTTTCCCATTACTAATCAAATGACACTCTTATCTTAATTTATCTTACGGTCTAACGGAAATTTAGTTACCATTAGTGATATTAATTATTACTCTCACCAAACTGCTTCTTGTCTCATTATTATATTTCTTGTCGACCTATATCACTTTTCTGTTTTGTCTTGCTAGAAAATTTCTTGTGATGCTCTTGCCACACTGTAGGTATCCTTTAGTCAATTTTCACTCAAATTAAACCTAAGTTTTGTTACAGATCAATGAAGGCTTCTAAATGTGCGATTATGGATAAAGTCATAGCACAGAGAAATATTGCTGTTGTTCCTAAATTCATAAAGAATACACCTACAAAATTTCGTAAATTTCTGAGAGAGTTTGTGGTCCTGTCAAGAATTGTTGGCCCTTCTGTGCGAGCCCCAGCTTTTCTTTGGTCCTTCCTTTTGAGCGATTTTTCCCTTTCGTTCATTTTACCCATGTAGGGGCGGGAAAGAATACCCCTACTGCAGTGGCACTGCATGTCGTAAGAGGCGACTATCCAACGGTTGGGGTGGTCCGCATATTCGACCAAGCGGATGCATCAAGGAAAATTTTGTAAATCGACACATTTGAGTGACAAAAAATATGTTTACCCGCCTGCTCCTCTATCAATCAACTTTATTGAAGTCTATTGGTAAATCTTTTGCACTTAAAATCAGTATCTTGAACTAATTTGCACATTTGCCCCATTATTTCCTTGCTTTTGGTACCCTAAGCATTTAATTTTATTTTCCTGAGTTCGTATTCTTTCCATTTCTCAATCTCTTCCTTTACATATACTTTAGTACTTTTTTCTGTTCTATCAACTCTCCCCCTTCTTCTTTCTTTCTCTATCATTTTTCTTTATCTGTTTCTCTCTTCTGCTCCACAACTTTTTTTTTCACTTGCTCCTCTCCGCTTCAGTTATTTGTTTCCACTGTAACAGGTGGTCGCTTTAGTCTTTTAAGCTTGTTTGTTAAAATTAGTAATCTGCTAAAGCGGTAAATACGGTGCCGTAAATTTAATTCAAAATAAATGTACGGAGAGTATCAAAATTCATGCGGTATCTACAAATGTCACTAGCAAAACACCCTCGAAATTAAGCATTTATCTTATATACACTTTCCAAAATACGGAGCGGGAACTTAGGAATTCTCAGCCGGCCGGCGTATTCGGTTAATACTGTGCAAAAATTAAAACTTCTTGAATTAATTCTGCGGCTTACGGACGTCCTAAAAATCTGTAATTGGTCCTAATATTTAAATTAAGTAAGAGCGCTCTGTTGGAACCCTTCACGACTGAATCGGATGCTGTTTACTGCATCTCATTTAACCAGCTACCGCTAATTACACTTTGCCGGATAATATTAATTCTAAATTCATAATTCGATTTAACATTGTCTCTTGGAATCTTGGAGGTCTGTTATCAAACTGATACCGGCGTAAACTTTGCAGTTTGAATGCTTGTTTTAAATTATCATATAAACTAAAACCTGCTAACGATGACTTAACAGAGCTGAACTTCTAAAATTTTAATTCCCTCTCGTCTTCTAAATCTAAATGACAAAACCTATCGGGCGGAACAAAGATAATTGAAATATCTTAACGGGAACGGTTGCAAACGGCGAATTAATTACAGCTTTCGTTTACGGTAACGGCGGTTGAAACATAACTCTAGAAATCAAATCAATTACCTTTACCTACTATCTTTAACTCCTAAAACCAACACAATTTCGGCGCGATTTCTAGATACCGGGTGTTCATCTACAGAGTGATAACTAACTTCGAGGCAGAAGACGAGTGCTTCGTTACAGTGTTGCCGGTTAGCCAAACTTTCGAGGCAAACCTACGTAACGTAAGCGTGGCGATTTTTAGATCGCGTAACACGAAATTTTTCCCCAATTTTGTGAGTGCGAGTTGGGGGGGGGGGGGAGTGTGGGCTATGTTTTGAGATCGCGTGAACATTTGTTTTCAATTTGAAATACCAATCGAAAATATAACCACGCCATATAAAAGAATCGTTGACCGCGCAACCAGAAAATCTGCACCAACAATTTCGCCTAAGTTATTGTGGGGGATGCTTAGTTGCCATTACAACTAAGCTAATAATAAGTGACTGGTTTATGAAAAAAAAGGAACTTAATTGCGTAGCGGAGTCGACAGCCCGGCTGATATAAATTTTAACAGTGCGAAGTGAAGCAAAAAAATTCGTTTCGTAACATTACCGGATTAACATCATCTCATTTAAATCGTTACCACGAAAGCGCTGGGGTCCAAGGTGCTAAACGTTCATTGAGTTATATTTGGAGTAGCTACTTACGTTAGTAAAACAAGTTTGTCAATCAAAACTGTGCATCTCTCTTGAGTATATGGGGTGTTATTAGATATACATTAAACGGCAACCGGTAAAAAGGTTAAAGACAATTAATTCGTGCTTTTTTTAGCTGTCAAAACCGCAGTCACCCCATTTCCGGTCTCATATAGTACAGGTTCGCATATAGTCACATCGACCGTTACCAGAAAGCCAAAGATTTCGACTGTTTGAGCTAGGGAAAGTGAAAACGAAATTTGATTCGGTGATTTCTCAGTTGTTTTCAGGAAGTTTTCAAAAATGGCATGTTTTTTTAGTGGACAACTTTAACCTACACTGTATCTCTCACCGTTACGAAAATCCCAATGGTGACCCACGAATTTGAACCACCCTGTATGTATAAAGGGCCAGGTAATCCACTACTATATTTTCCCGCTTTTCCCCATACCTGTACGTGCAACAGTGAAGATTGAAAGTATTCATGCATCCTTTAAATTTATATCAAAACCTTGTATACTTCTCGTTTATTTCAGACATAGGTATAGGAAAATCCATCCTACGGTTAAGACAATGCATCGCTGCAGATTTTAATTTTGCCCTACTGAAATCATGTAGTACATTCTCTCCTTGTTTAAATTAACGTTGAAATTAAAAAACTCCTTTTAAACTCCTGTAAACCGAGTTTAAAAAACCCAATGCCTTCCCATCCTACATCTTTTTAATAAAGAGCCGTAAACGTCATTGTGTTTGTCCCTTGTAAAGAAATCCTTCTCCGTTACAAGAACCCTTAACGTTGCCCATTAAAGCAGTGTATAAATTCGAATTGATTTATGCTTTATGGCGACTTCAGCCGAAATACATTCCACGGTGTTGCACAAAAACGCTTCTTGCAAAATTCATGAGCGACGCTGATTTTTGTTTTTCCTTTCCTGAAACACCCGTGCCACGTTCTACTATAGAATTTTAAGATTCATTTGCGTTTGTGGGGTGTCCCAGGGAGTTCCCAAGGGGTAGCATTGTTACAGTCCTTCTTTTGATGATTATTGGATACATTTGCTAAAAACCATTGCGCTCCTAATTACTCTACACCTTGTAACCAAAAGATGACGCAAATAATACATTCCCGTACGATTTGATGTGCAATAAAGAAGTGTTTCTCATCAATTTCTACAAAATAGTATCACATTTGACGGAAAACCGAAGAATAAAAATAAACGCAATTTATTACAGGAAAGGATGCGAAATTGCGCTATTCGCTACGTATACAAAATTATGTTTTATTCAACATTTTTATGACAAACTATTCACAAATAATCACTCTTTTCCTCTCGTAAGCTGAAACTCAGCAATTATCGAAAAACGACATAAAATTTGAAATTCATCGCTATTATTTTTATATAGCTGCTCTACGAGAGCCATTAACGTCGACCATTAAAACAGTACATTAAGTCCTCAGAAACACAGTTCGGGGTCGATTTATAATTCCGGAGGGGATAACACATATTCCCGTTTTAAAACTACACAAATTAAAAAATTCCCAACTTTATAATTAAGTGGTCGTGACGGCTAAAATTGAACGATCAGAAAAAGTTTGGAACTGTGTTTACACGGTAAATTGAAACGAATGCAAAGTGTTTTTTTAATTTAAAAAAACAAGCTGAAATTTACATCTATTCTTTACGGTCGAAAATGAAGCTCTCTATTCATCCCCTCGGGATAATCCGTTTTAATAATTCATCCGCCGGTTATACGTTCGTCGCGTCGCCGAAATACGGTGAGCTCTGTAAGATTGGTGTTTTTTTTCGGGGGGAGCGTACTGATAAAACCGACGTTAGCTGGAAGTCCGACAAATCACGGATTTCATCTTGGGGTTGGCAAACGCCGGTGCTTCCAACTGCCAAAACCGGTGCCTTACAGTCTAGCCAAATGAGAATCTTTTTTGTTCGACTTCGCAAACGTTAAGTTTTCCGCTTTTCACCTTGTTATTTGCAAGGGACGCGTGAAAATATAGCATGGTTTCCAGTGCGGAAATTTGTATTAAAGACAATGTTTCTATGTTGTGTGCCACTGCAACAATAAAGAAGTTTTCATGGCTTGAATACATGTGTAATAAATTTTATTATCGCTCTGTATCTCCTCTTTTATTAAACATAAACCATTTTTCATAATTTATCGTATATTTTTGTTTGCCCCAGTTATTCTTTCCCACTGACTTACTCGATTTTCGCTGACCTATTGACAACGATACAAAAATCGGTGATGTACAGGGTGATCCTACATATTATGTACGTAGGGAGGGGGCTAATTCTTTGGATTATTTTATGACTGAAAATATGTCCGCAAAAGCTTCGCTACTGACGTACACGATGTTTATAGTTTTTTGAGGGGTCACATTCCATTTTCTTCGGTGCGCCGCGAGGTGGTAGATTATAAAATAAGAAAAATAATTGTATGGTATGTTTAGAAACTGTTTGGTCTTTTGTAATTTTTTCGTATCTGCAGTGCCCGTGATCGAGAAAAAAATTAATTTTCGGTCAATGAAAGTATAGTTTTTAAAATGTCTCTTGTTTTTATCAGTTTTAACGCGAATTTGAAATGTACCTTCTGTTTGCTTGCATATGTTATCATATTATAGCGAATATTCCAGAAATCCCGATAGACATCGGAGTGCCATGAAAGATTA